TCATAGGACTAGGAAGGAATTGATCTAGGATTATTAAAATACTGCTTCAACATTTTCTTGGGTAACACGAAGATTATCATTGAGGATGGATACACGGTATCCGGGTTGAGAACAGTACAAGAAGCAGGCGTGTCAGTCATTGCATGACAATGTTCGGAGACAGCTCTAACAACCACAGAGACCAAAAGCGGATAAAACATTGTTTTAAGAAGCTCATGCACATGTTTCCTCTGTTGTTACGGGTGAGAGTGGTACGCCTTATCTGATCGTACCATCTCAATTTCGCTACCGATTATTTCTTCAGTTTCGAGAAGGAAAGCGAGTCAAGAAATTGGTTCGGAAACAAATGTGGATACAATTATGTATCTGAGCACGTAAACACATTTCACAACATAGTCCCCTATTCTGAGAATTTATCAGGTGACCGCCTGCACTGCCTAATATCCCCCGTCGTGCGTTAATTTTAGTGTTTACCAGTGAAGCAGCCTGGGGCACGCGGCAGTGTAATTGGTTGAGGCACTGTGCTACAAGCCTGATGGTCGCGGTTTCGAGTCCCAGTGAGGTGAATATTTTCAATTTACCTAATCCTTGCAGCCGCACTATTGCCCTGGGGTTGACTCAGCCTCTAACAGAAATGAGTACCAGGAATCTTACTGGGGGATAACGGGAGGCCGGCGCGTAGGCTGACAACATTATCGCCATCTGTTAGCCGATTTTCTCGAGAAAATGTGGGAACTTCGACGTCTCAAAACCCTATGGGCCTTCATGGCCTGTTATAGGAATAGTTTTACTTTTTAATTAAAATGAAGGTAATGTGTATTTTAGGAGTTTTAAATTTCGTACCTTGCTACCTAGAAGAGTAATAACAAAATAACTTGTATATTGTGACATGTAGACCCAGTGCTAGGGAACGATTCGGTAAACAAGCCCGCAACAAATACGCAACCACCAGTAAAGGATTTTCAGTGCTGGGCAACAGATGTGTTTTCTATGGATCCGCCTCGAGACTATGTAAGTATTGCAGAACAGAATCATATCGGAGAGCGAGAGAGAGAATCGGAATGGAGCAGGTCCTCGGCAGTTCTTCTGGAACTTTCTTGTGATTTGTTGTTATTTACTGTGAATAAGATAGACTGTAAAAGAAGGTGTTACTAAATCCAGTCATTAACCCAAACGCCGTTTATTATTAGTCACGCAGCCATAAACACGTGGCAATATTTACGCCTAAAACTATAGTAAGTTAAGAAAGTGCTTATTATTCAGTTTAGACCCCCCTATCGTCCGGTAAACTTTAAAATAGAAAATTTCTTATGGAACAATACAGTTTCTTCTGCTCTTTATTTTGGTTCTGAATTGTGTTATTTTCTAAGAAGATAGAAGGTTATGAACCACACACGAGGAAACTTTGTGCCAAGGAAAGTAAATGTATCGATGAAATAGGCGGTGAACTGGGAACAATGCACCACTATTACAATACTTGTTAAGATAGTGATTTGAGGAGGTTGCATGGTCTGAATATGTAGCCCGCAAGAGACAAGAAGTGCTGTAGAATTCGCGATAAGTGACTACCCTGAAGACAAAGAAGTGTGCAGAAGCCCAATATTAAAAGTGGATCTTACAGGAATGGGCTATGAGGATATGGACATACGATTGAACTGGTTATGGATCGTGTTCAATGCCGGGATTTAGAATTCACAGTAAATTTTCGGTCTTTTTTATTAGGAAGTAAAAATCGTCATAAAACTTGATTCAGAATAACTGGAATTATTGACTTTTACTCCGTGTTCCATAGACCATAGTTGTAAACGCGAGTTAATTAAAATTCAGTCCTGCTTACAGCATGTTAGCTCGAGATAGCGAGGCAGTTGCATTCCTCCCGCAAATACTTCGTCATTGTTAAGTTTCTTAACACAAGGTTAATTTTACTTTTGTCTCTTAACCTTTCGAGACGTGAACTTCATCTAAATAGAATTTAAGTACCCGGAAATGTAAGCATAGAGGAAAATTTTGGCGCCTTCGTTCTCTTTTGTCTCGAAAGGAACAAAGTTTAAATTTAAGTAAGTAAAGACTAGCTTAGCCGCGGTAGCGTAGTCGGTAAGACGACTGGATACGGGCTGGACGACGGAGGGGTCCGAGTTCGAGCATCGGTAGTATCAAGAATTTTCTCTCCTTCAAATCGTCCAGACCGGCTCTGGACTCCTTCCATCCTCCTATCCAATGGGTACCACGGGGTCCTTCCCCGGGGTTAAAGAGGCAGGGGCGTGAAGCTCACCACTCACCTCCAGCTAGTGCGGAGGTCATGAAAACGTGGGCCTATACATCCACTCCCCCATACCCCTTCATGGCGAAGTGCTTAATAAGTTGAGCACAGAGACAACTTTTCCTTTTTAAAGACTGTAGCGTCACTTTCAATTGTATTTTAATTAACTACCCGGGGTTGCGTAACAAATAAGAAGGGTTTTGAATTTGATGATCGATTTTATTGGACCTCTATACAACTGGTTTGAACAGTTCACAGATCACTATCTGACACACTGTCATCTTCAGACTGGACACTGCACGGGAACTATGCTGACTTATAACTGAACAGAATGGAACTACTGCACTACTCCGTTGCACGTAAAGTACGTGTTTTATTCCTCTATACAAGGTTAGTTCGGAATATTATTCACTCAGATAAATGTTTAGCTATTTGGGCTCAACATGTTCGTAGGAACGCATATAGGTCTCTATGTAAAGTTGTAGTCAAAACTGATCGATCTAAATAAAATTAAAATGACTCGACAGGTTTTCGTAAAATTCTACAATACCAAATTTCTGAAATGTCTTCGAGTAGTTATCGAGTTACCATGATTTATACAGAGAGGCTATTAAAAGCGTTCCTCAAATCGTTCGGCCGGTCCAATCGATGAGAAGTAAGCTCCTCCCATTAATTTCCTCCGCGCGCATTCGAACCCGCAGCGCAATACACACGCAGGCCAAGAAATCACAAGCAAGTCTCAAGTCACAACAGAAGCCGGATATGGTACCCTTGTTATGCACGCGTTCCTTGTACCTCGGTAAAATGGTCACATTCACGCGATGAGATTCCTTTTCGGATATAGCAAAATTTAAACTTGAAAACTGAAAATTTAAACCACTCTCCCCTGTATAAGATATCTAAGAGACTTTGAATGGGGATGTTTAAGTCTAGGACAGAAATCGTCAAATTTCTCTCCAGTGAGCATGCAGCGTTTTAATTCGGTTCTTTTTGTCCGGTAACGAACCTGTCTATCTAAATTGAATTACGATTTAATGAATTATATTTCTTTCTGTCTGGAACTGTGACATCTCGAAAATCATGATGGAATCTTCCCTTATTTTTCATATTTACTTTTTACTTTAACATTTGTTTCAATATGTAACTTTCACGTGTCATTTCGACACAAGAAGTGACATAGCGGACTCAATATTTAATGCAGTGGCTGGGGTTTGGGATTATGGTCCACATGCACATAATGCTTTACTGGGAGGATGTTGAAGAGAAGCTGCAATGCTTACTGGGTATTGTCCTATCGACAATGTTACGAATACGAATGCGCTCCGACTGTTAATTGGGCCACGAAAATTTCACTTCTAAAATAAAATTATTAATATTATAAAAAGAAATAAAAATTCCAAATGGTCAGTACATAAAATAACACAATGACTCAATGTTTTTGTTTTTGTATACGTTACTTAGAAGGGACAGAACCTACTGTGCTTGAACCAGACCCTCAAATCTGGGAATACCAAGTGCTGGTAAACAGCCACCCGCCTTTTCGGAGCGGGTAGAGCCTTAATAAAATGGTTAACTAGAAAAATGGTCCTTTATTTTCCTCAATATCTCCCATTCCTCTCATGAGTTTTACCACCAGGTTTTCAGTAAATTTCAGGTGTTCTTCAGTTCAGTATCCAGAGTGTTTGGAAGAAGACATTTTTATATGCATTTCCCTACTTTGCTGGTAAGTTACAAACTCCAGCTCCTATTTTTCGACAACTAAGCATTACATTTCATAATCACGTGAACTTTCATTAGAAATAAATTACTAGCTTTCGATAGAATTTGAACACCCTCTAAGAAAGAAAAATATTGTGAATTGATTACAACAGTTTTGTATTTATCTTAAGTAGAATGGCTTCCAAAGTAATTTTTATGAATAGTGACTTCCAAAAATTCTCCACATTTTAAAAAATTTAGAAATAAGGCAGTCATAAATTTTAAAAATTTAAACTGCCAAAATTTTTTTGTTCTAATGGACCAGTTTGCTTGGTGTATATTTAAAAGTATAAATACACTTTCATATGGATATCCGTGTCGATAAAGAACATTCTTATAGTATATATTACAGTTATTATAATTAAACAAAATTAGGGAACCACAGAAGTGAATAAAGTCAGAAGTGGGCCACGAGCGAAAAAAGGTTGAGAACCACTGGCCTCAACGAACGGAGGGAGCAATTATAACAGGCGCTCCCCAAAATTTCACCTTCTGCCTCAGAAATAATTATATCGCGTCTCCATTATACTGAAAAGTTGATTAATTTTTTCTGGGGGGAAAAATTTCTATTTAGTATGTGGGCCAAACAGTATTCATTAACATAGTCTATGGGCAAAACGTACACTTCTTAAATGTTAAACTGACAACTATGTTTCAGAGGATTAAAATTCCTTGAAATTCCTTGTATATCCTGCTCACTTGGCTGGAAGTAAGTTTCAAACTTTGTATAAGTTATTAGGCATCACCAATCCAGGTGTGCAATTTTTATATATGCGCACATTTGAATTAGTTCTCTGATAAATGCGTTTTAATGTAAATGTGATAGAATAATTGCATATGATTTTGAAATTACTTTCAGTCTAGTGTAGTTCTCGGAATTTCTGGCGTTGTTATTAAATGCCTCCAAGCTAGAAGACCGTTAATTTCCTAGTTTACAGAAATCACGAAGTTAACTTTCATTTGTCGACCATACACTACTTACGGCTTGGTGGATGCATATTTGAGGTTATGAAAGCATGATGATGCTTCCTGGAAACGGGCAACTGTTTTCTCTTGGTATAAAGTAATCCACATATGAGGCTGTGACATTCACTCTGGCCAAACGAATATGGTTTTATGATGCACGTATCCTGTAAGAGTGGCAGAGAGATATTTACTAAATGTTATAAAGGCCTAAAATCTGATGCACTAGACGTTGTCATGTTGCCTTTTAGGCACCCGACGAATGATATCTTACAAGTGTACTTTCTCTGCAACTTTTTCCCCACAATGACACTCCTAATTTGAAAAGTTTAAGCCGAACACTTTAGAAAAGAGGTTAACAGAGGAAGGTTGTCCCTTCTAAACTTATGACACTTGTCTAGAAATTAGCACTTTACATTTACCAAAACAAAAACACAAAACGCCCTTCATTCAATATTCTTCATATTTCAAATCAAATTGATTAATCATTTGTTGCATCTGAATTAAAGCATGCGCTGAATCTCTTTTCCATATTGCAGAAAACAGATACAGCTATTGGCCATGTAACCCAATAGTCTCATTACATCAACAAAACACAAACTGATGCTGCTCATTACTTTCTGCAAGGCCCTTATAGTTCTTTCCGAAGCGCATTACTATACAAATATTCGGAAACTTATGTTGTTTTGCATTAGTGTTGTTCGAACCTAACAAATTCGCACTGCCGCCATCTTGACGTTAGGGAGAAAACGGCTTTGAAAGTAGAAACATGGCCGCACACAACCTGCAGGCAGGATTTTACTGACCCTGCTTTACTACGACCTAAACCTAAGATGGATATGAGATTTGAGAATTGGAATGTCAGAAATCTATGTAGGTTCGTTCCTTGAAAGCCGTAGGAAGAGAAGTGGCAAATGGTAACATTTTGTGAGAACACAGGAAGTAATGAACAAGCATACAGTTTTTTTTTCTTGGCACTACAGCCCCAGTGGGCCTAGGCCTACCTCCATGAACTTCTCCGTTCACTTCGGTTTTTCTAGATCTTACACATTCGGTAGGACTCATTGGGCGGGTGATCAGCTCGTTGCAAGGCCTCTACCTGTACACAAACACAGAAAAACGCACACAAACATCCATGCCCTGAGTGGGATTCGAACCCACGATCCCGGCTTCCGGGCGAGCGAAGACAGTGCACGCCTTAGACCGCTCGGCTACCGTGACCGGCCAAGCATACAGTTAGGCCTACAAATTTCTACGGCAACTGGTAGGAAAGTCACCAAGTACCGACAGCCTTGTTTTTATGCATAAGGGCATCATCCACTCACGAGAGAAAAGTTCTGGACGAAACCCTGAAGGGAAGACAGATCTTAGAAGACTTAGGCATAGATGGCACAATAGAAAGAATCATATCAAATGGGATGGTAGTTTATAAAGTGCATTCATGTGGCTATGCATAGGGACCGATGGTATGGTCTTGTGAACACAGTTAATGACCTTCTCGGTTACCGAGATATTTGAATAAGTTTTCTGATTTGTGCTCCGAAGATCCCAAATCGATGCTTCTCTCGAGGTGGGAAAATGTGAAAACCCCCCAAAATAACGTTCTTTTTCTTTCATTTGGGCTTATACAGACCAAAGTTTGCTTCAAGTAAAGAATTATATGACTAGGGCTGTGCGCTGAGGAGGGTTGCATATCTGACGCAGAGGGAAGGAGTAAATGAGGGCAGAAAGGAACAGAGCGAGAGCAGAGAGAAAATAAACACATAGAAATGTCAATGAGAAAGAGAGAGGAAGAAAACAAAAAAAGAGAGAGAAAGGAGGGGAATGAAAGATAGGAAGTGAAAACAAGATGGAAGGGAAGAATGAAAGAGAGAGAGAAGAAAGGGACGAAGACAGGGACAGGGTGCGGAAGATGAAAAGGGCGAAAGGAAGGTTCGAAATTTGCTCGGGCTCTTGTAGTACCTCACCTGGCAGCCGGTGGGGGGGGGGGGGAGGGCAGTTTGCACGGAACCTGTAGCAGATCACTTTCTCTCCTTCAAGAATGTAATCCAATTTTCTGCCCGAAGCGCAAGCAGAGGCGTGACGTGGCCGACCTAACAATTTCTTTCCTGAAGTTCGTTTTCATTCCGGCTGTTCCCACTCGCGATGCTCATGCCAATCAACATTTTTACTTCTCATAAAATAATTCACAACAGAATCGATGGCACGGTGCAATTACATAAATACTTCACAGCATGCCACATTTTGTTGCGGTCCGCGGGTTGATCTCAGATGGAGGTTGTAATGACTGAAACGTTTACTCTTTTTGTTTTAGTTTAGAGCTCTGCTACAGGGCTCATGAAGCTAGAGCAACGACAGTAGCTTAAACAGAATTACAGACTAACTTATCATTGATATCTCTCCCGCATTCAGCAGGAAAACAGACCAAGCTGGGTGGTGTAGCGATAACGCTCTATACTTGTATTTGGGAAGTGCTCTGTTCGAATCTCGTCCAGGACAATAATGTCCGAAGATTTTCATGGTTTGCTGCACTCCCCAAAGGCAGATCCGTGATTTTATCTCGATTAGGCCACGGCTGCTTCCTTCCAAATCCTTTCCGATTTGTAAATCATTCAACAACTCGACATTATACAATCTAGATACTGACTCCGTGTTTTTTAGTCCGCAAGCGAACTATACCAACAGAGCGACCGCCGCTTGTCGGCGAAGTTAGTGCCAACTTTAGCGGACAGAGGGTCTCGCGTGTTCGACGCAACTAATCCCCACAGCCGTTAATTTCAGTTTTATAGACCGGAGACGCTATTGCTCCATTCAAGTAGCTCCTCAATTACCCTCACGAGGCTGAGTGGACCCCGTTCCAGACCCAATATTTTTTTCTGAAAATCTTGTAGCGCCAGGAATCGGACCCGGGACCTCTGGACCTGTAGCCAGGAACTCTGACCACTAGACCACAGAGGCGGTCCTAGACACTGACATAGTCGCTAAATAAGAAACAAAAAGGAAAATATGACGAACAGCCTACAACTGTAAGTTTCAGTTACTATTTACAGAACGGGCAAGTTGCCTGTAATAGAAACACTTACATTAGACATTCGGAGGTTCCGAGTTCGAATCTCGGCTGCGACACTGGCTATCCCGACTTTATTACTTATTTTTCTCAGTCCCTCCAGACAAATGTCAGAATAATATTTCGATAAGATCACGACCGTTTCCTTCCAAATCCTCCCCAATTCATCTGCCATCCTAACATTTGACGCTATATTATGCAATACTGAACTCCACTAAAAAACAGTCAGCTCCGCGAATGATCAAAGTTTCCACCAAGACCTTGCTGAGGCTACCTTAAAGTAGGCCACAGTTGCTATCATTTCAATGCGAGCTAGATAGTTAATCATTGTCCATGAGCTTGTTTGTAACACGTGAATCTTATAGTATTCTATGGTTATTACAATCACTGTAAGAACGAAATGTTTACAGAACTCATAATAGTAATTTCTTTAATGATAAACTGTTCTCACATATACATACATACAAGCACAATAAACCCATACACAGAGTGTCCATTGAGGAAAGGTCAATATTATAAGAGTCATAGTATCGGTCATTTGAAGCAAAAAGAAACTGTATATATATGTGTTTTATTCCGAACGGTTTCCGAGATAGAGTTATTTCATTGTACAGCACCAAAATTGTTGATAAGAAAGGTATATTATGTACTGTTTCTAATGCCGGTATTTATTGTCCAAGTGACAAAGTTGGTACGGTTTACAAAGTATAATACATTTTTGAAAATTCCTCCTTCAACACGAACGCACTTTGGAACTCGTGTGATGACATGGCATGTTGCTCATCTGTACACGGTACTATACAGGGAAATAGTTTTATCTCGGAAACCGTTCGGAATAGGATACATGTATATAAACACTTTTTTGTTTAGAATGACCGATATTATGACCTCCCAGAATACTGACCTTTCCTCCTGTGACACCATAATTATGAAAATGTATTTATTATTTCGTATTTCGGGTATGCCCCTTTTATCTATTTTAACTGAAATTACATTGAAAGCTTATTATAAGAGCACTTTAATAATTCTCGCGCCAATCCAAAAAAGAAAATGGTTATCGACGGACGGATAGGATGAAGAATCCCAAAGTTGTTGCCAAATTATGGACATATTACGGGAGGTACTTAAGAAAGAATAGATACAAGGGCACGTGCGTATACATTTCAGGAGACTCCCTTGCAACGAAATTCAAAATTACAGTTGTCTGTAATTATACGTCCAACGCAAAAAATACCCAGATACTCTGAACATATTGCCAACGCATGGCAAAAGAAAAAAACAGGGCACATGCATGTTTTTCTCTGAAAAAATGGAATAAATGTAGGATACGCTTACAAGTAATTTAACGAAACTGTTTCAGCTACAGGGTTACGAAAACACAGATGAATTTAGAGGAAGATTAGGCACGGTAAACAACCTACCTCAGGGTAATATCCTGATAAATACTGCAAACATTAAAGTCTGTACTGCAATTTTGTCAGCGCTGAGAGTTCGGTGGTGTTTCGTATTGTTCTGGAAGTCATTCTCGATACTATGCAAATGATATAATGTCGTTAAATAAGCAGTAAATTACGTAACTCAATGAGACTTCGTATAAAAGTTGACAATGGCACTCCTTATTGAGAAATCCTATAATTTTACGAATCAGAAATTTCATCACCTCTTTTATAAAAGTCCGCATTTGATGGCATATTGAGCCATTTCATGCCAAACCACACATTCATATCCTCTTACCAAAGCCTGGGTCTCACAAGACGGCACTTTCTTTTGTATGTATTTCTTATTTCCCTTATGTGCAATATATGCCCGCCCGTATCATATCTCCTCATTTAACCATCCGAATAATGATAGATAAACACCATATACTATGCCGTTCGTTATATCGTCATAGTACTCTTAAACACTTCGACATATGTATTTTGTCTCTTATGTTCAAATATTGTTCCCAGCCCCTTGCTCTCAAACGCCCTCAATCTTTGTTCTTCCTTCAACAAATAACATATCAACAAAAGTCACACCAGAAACGTTAATAACAAGAACATGATAATCTAAAATAACGTAAAATTAAAATTTTTAGTAGCATTTTACATCAGAATAAATAGTAGAAGAGCGTAATAACAGAGCAGCAGGTTCCTTTAATACAGCATCTTATACACATGACGATGGCCAGTTAGGCCGAAACATGTAGCGTCGTACAATGCGAAGAGACGAAGAACTTTGATTGTTAATACTCGTATATCGACGAAGTTACACAAAGACGGCAAGGAGCGGGAACACGTAGTTAGAATACACAGTGCAACAGGACGCTACAGTATAATATTACTTCATTCACTTCTTTTTTATAATTGTGTCACGAAATAATGACAATTCTTGCTAACAAATATCACATAATTATATACAAATAAATTTAGGAGTAAATTGTGTAGACAGATCGTTAGACATTAATCTTTTATTCTAAAAAAAAAAACTTGACTTTTTGATAATTCTAAACTGACATGAAAAATTTCTTTGGCACAGATCTGTACGTGTGGAACTTTGGAAACATGTCATAAAATA